AAACGGTTAAGATTGAAGGCAGTGCTAAAACTGTTAAGATGGAAGGCAGTGCTAAAACTGTGAAGATGGAAGGCAATGCTGAAACTGTATAGATGGAAGGCAATACTAAAACTGTATAGATGGAAGGCAATGTTAAAACTGTGAAGATGGAAGGCAGTGCTAAAACTGTGAAGATGGAAGGCAATACTAAAACTGTGAAGATGGAAGGCAATGCTAAAACTGTATAGATGGAAGGGAATGTTAAAACTGTGAAGATGGAAGGCAATGCTTAAACTATAAAGATAGAAGGGAATGTTAAAACTGTATTGAGTGAAGGCATTGCTAAAACTGTATAGATGGAAGATATGTTTGTGTAACAGGAAAAGAAAATGCACGGCCAGACCGGGGTTCGAACCAGGAACCCTCTGAACCGACGAACACTCTTCCAATTGAGCTGGTCGCTGATGATCGACCCAGTCCAGTTCATCCTTCCTTTTTCTAAGTCCTTGCCTCCAAAGACACAACTAGTTACAACCCAGGTTGGGGTGTCCCCTTGCCACGCGTACACCAAATGCTTGAAACAAGGGTTGGTCACAGGCACCACTCAACTTGTCCAAAGTAATACTCAGATTTGATGTTTAAGTTTTGAGTTAGCAATCACACACAGGTGAATGACATGTATTTAAGTTCTGTGAATTATAAGGGAAAAGGCAGGCTTCCTTTAATAACTTCTTTGTCCCAAGGTATCTATTTATACACCCGTCAAATTTGACTGGAGTATTATGGTATGGGGTTGTCCAGCCGGCCAGCTGGCCGGCGTAAACTTTTGTTTGTACGGCAATCTCCTCCTACATTTTTTGACCGATCTCTTTGAAACTTGGTATACATTGTAATCATGATATGAAGGAGTGTCTCCCTTAAAAGAATTTTAATTCAACAATTTTTCCGAGAGTAATTGCCCTTTGTTCATTTCAGTAGATGATTTTTTTCTCTGAAGATCTTCTCCTACATTATTTGATGGATTTCTCTGATACTTAGTATGCTAAATAATCATGAAATGATGTTGTGTTTCCTTGAAAAGAATTTTGATTCAATACTTTTTGCAAAGGTTATTGCCTTTTGTTTATTTCAGTATTTGATTTTTGTCCGGCAATCTCCTCCCTCATTTTTTCAACGGATCTCTTTGAAACTTGGTATACATTATAATCATGATATGAAGTTGTGTCTCCCTTGAAAGAATTTTGATTCAACCTTTTTTTGCAAAAGTTATTGCCCTTTGTTCATTTCAGTATTTGTTTTTTTGTCCAGAAATTTTCTTCTACATTTTTTATAGCATGTCAGCTAACCACTCTTAGAATGATGCAGATCTGACTTCAATGTAAGAAAGTATATAACACTATATGGCATTCGACGAGCGTATATTGTTCCGATCCACGGTACTAATGTCAGGCTCATGTTGACATACTCTAAATTTCACAAAAAGTTCATATAGTGATAATCCATTTTATGCATCACTTAGTTAAATTGACCATTGTAAGTGTATATTGTCAAATAAGGGCACAGATCTTCAAACCACTATGCTCTGTGGTTCAGTTATGTTAACCAATTAAAAGCCAGAAAGTGGATCATCAGGGGAAATGATGGTAGAAATTATCTATACACTGATTCAACATACCCCACACAATTGATGGGTCAAATAATAACAGGGGGACAACAGACATACAAAACAATGGTATAATCTGTCTGATCCATTAAATTGATGATATTAATGAACTGATGACAAAGGAGGAGCACAATGAAGGAGAGACAGAAATACATGAAAAATAGTAATCCATAGAAATTGTCAACTCACCATAACGTAGACTGTTAAGTGTGTGTTTATTGTTACAATGGGGGTGTTAATTGTTACAATGGGGGTGTTTATTGTTACAATGGGGGTGTTAATTGTTACAATGGGGGTGTTAATTGTTACAATGGGGGTGTTTATTGTTACAATGGGGGTGTTTATTGTTACAATAGGGGTGTTAATTGTTACAATGGGGGTGTTTATTGTTACAATGGGGGTGTTTATTGTTACAATGGGGGTGTTAATTGTTACAATGGGGGTGTTTATTGTTACAATGGGGGTGTTTATTGTTACAATGGGGGTGTTAATTGTTACAATGGGGGTGTTTATTGTTACAATGGGGGTGTTTATTGTTACAATGGGGGTGTTAATTGTTACAATGGGGGTGTTTATTGTTACAATGGGGGTGTTTATTGTTACAATGGGGGTGTTAATTGTTACAATGGGGGTGTTTATTGTTACAATGGGGGTGTTTATTGTTACAATGGGGGTGTTAATTGTTACAATGGGGGTGTTTATTGTTACAATGGGGGTGTTTATTGTTACAATGGGGGTGTTAATTGTTACAATGGGGGTGTTTATTGTTACAATGGGGGTGTTTATTGTTACAATGGGGGTGTTAATTGTTACAATGGGGGTGTTTATTGTTACAATGGGGGTGTTTATTGTTACAATGGGGGTGTTAATTGTTACAATGGGGGTGTTTATTGTTACAATGGGGGTGTTTATTGTTACAATGGGGGTGTTTATTGATTCAATGGGGGTGTTTATTGTTACAATAGGGGTGTTTATTGATTCAATGGGGGTGTTTATTGTCACAGTTGGGGTATTTATTGTCACATTGGTTTTTTTTCATGTGGTACAGGGTATTTTTACTTAAAACAGCCTCGTCCAGGAGCTGTATATACAGACAAGGTCCCTTATTGCCCTGTGTATTGTCACATCAATGCAAGACACCAAGGTGACATCGCGGAAAATGCGATAAAGTGTGTAAGCATGGACGGCATCGTAATGTTGTCAAATTACCATTGAAAGCTTTGTCTTTGTGACAGCTATGAAATGGGTGGGACAGTGGGGAATTGGTGGAAGCACACTCGAATTAGGCGTGATTAAACAATGTGACAAACTGTTATGACAAACCTAATCAGCCGTGTGATGCTCCAATCCAATGGGTTTAGCGCGGCTGGTTAAGGCCGTAGATCCGACATCCCTACGATAGTCCACTTCCTTTAAGGCGCTAGGGTTTACCCAAGTGGTTAAAACACCCAGCCGTCTAAAGACACTCGGGGATAATAATTGGTTAGATGGAACGCAGGACCACTTGTTCATTTTCTTGCACTGTGGTCAGACTGGGCATTGGTCAGCGGTCATCAGTCATCAGCCAATTATGCCCCTTTATATATGTATTGGTCAGTATAAGATGAATTATGTCTGCCACGTAGAATCAAGTTATTTTCATAAATGACCTGTGACATCAGAATTAATTAGCATTCACACAGTCATGTAAGATGAAAAAAGGAATAATGCTTTTGAAATTTCTCCAATTTAATTGTAATTGTATCAACTCTGTTGAAGCTTTTCTATTTGAAGAATTAACTATGAAGCCATATAAGGAAGATGTCAACAAAATGTCTGAATTCAAATATTTTGTGTGAAATAGTTTCAAAGAAAAGAAGAAAACTAAGAATAAATGATTTAATATAAAAGCAAGTAATTAAAAACAAGAATTAATGAATTAATAGTCCTCGCTTAATGTATTGTGATACATGTGTAGAAGACAGAAGATTTCGCCGACTTTTACGACTATACAGACAACAATTTTACGTGTTACGTAGACGAGTTCCCATGTTTGCTGTTGTTTGATACGATGTAATGTGTTTTTCCCACTTGAACAGGCTGCGGTTTCGGTGAGCAGAAACTAACATTTTAGTAATTATAGCATGGTTTCTGTGTTTATGTGAAGAATCGTTTATTAATTATATTAATTATAGAATTGTTTGGCACAATTATAAGTTTATATTCACAACTGATGACGAATGCTATATATAGATAAAATTAAAATACACTTTTTCTATATGTACCATATTTAGCTTCCATGTCTTGTAACCACAGTTTATGTTTAAAACGTTATTGCTTCTCTCTGCCTAACATATGATATGTTGACATATTTGTCATCACCTACATGTTTAATGCCATGTAAGGCAGTTGCAGACTGAAATGAGCATATATATTGCAGTTAAGTGAATGAAAAGTTCTATGGTCAGAAAAAAAAATCCCCTAAAAAATTGCAATTAAATAAAATAATTTGCCGATAACATGCATGTATGTTATAGTATATAGAATAGATTATTGATAGTTTTCTATATAATTTGTTATATCTATTATCTTTTGTTTTATATTGGTTTAAAACAATGTCACCTTCATGCCTGGTTAAAATTGAACAAAAACAATCAAATATCTTTGTAAATTTTTATAATGGCAGGATATATAGAACTGAATTAATTATAAAGGTTATTTATACTTTTATATGATTTTACTTTTATAACGTGATAAAAGTTAAGTCAGTCAATGTCTTTAAAATGGTAAAATTCAAAACATATGTATACAGTGGTAAGCTTGTTAAGTTTTTGTAAAATTTATGTATATCTTTAACCCTTTCAACACTGTAAAGCATAATGGACTCACCCAGATCAAGTTATGGTAGAGTTTATAAAAGTTACATAGGGTGAAAGGGTTAATTTGGTGGTGGAATTTCTAATTCAGGTAAAGGGTTATTTTTCAAAGCTGGTAATTTGTCAAAAATATTTTTGTTTAAACATGAATCTGTGGACTGTGTTTAAACTTTTTAGTTAAGGTGGTGAAAACTGTTACCTGAAACCATACAAGTGTGGAAACTGTTACCTGAAACCATACAAGTGTAAAATGAATGTTTCATTGTCTGATTTAAACATTGTTTGTGCTATACAGAATGTTGCTATGAAATACATCATTCTATTTTGTTGTACATTTGTATTGGGATTTCAATATGTTTAGACCTATTAAGATCAATTTACTCTTCCAATGTTTATAGATTTAAGTTCCATTTTTTATTGCAAGCTATTTGGAATCTTCAATTTTATATATTCAACTGTACATTTATAAGTGTGAATTTTGACATGTTTTCTGTAATTTTCAGCTTAAAAGTTTTGAGAACCGAGAGAAGACAAAAAATGAACTTCATCATAGCACACTGGAGAATCTACAGCAAAAGTGTAGTGGTAAGTGATACTGATACAGAGTGTGTAACATTTAATTAAAATCTAATCAAAGTAAACGACTGGACTGTCCTTCAGGAAATACAACCTTTCAACAATTTGGAAAAATGCCAAAAGGTCTTGAGACTCGGCTACATGTAGATCAGACTGTTAATAGTTAAGAATGGAGAATGGTAAATTAAGAGATTTTGGTAAATTTTATTGAAGAGGTTGAGGCTAGAGTGAATATATAGCACACAGTAAGATATTGGTAAGTTCTGCCGTATGAGTGAAATAAAGATGGTGTTGAGGATCCCTGTCCCACTGCACTGTGTTTTGTTCATATATACAGTAACCTCCCCTTAAGGATCCCTGCCCCACTGCACTGTGTTTGTTTTGTATAAAGAGTAACCTCCCCTTAAGGATTCCTGCCTCACTGCACTGTGTTTGTTTTATATATATAGTGTAACCTCCCCTTAAGGATCCCTGCCCCACTGCACTGTGTTTGTTTTGTATATACAGTAACTTCCCCTTAAGGATCCCTGCCCCACTGCACTGTGGTCTTTCGTATATACAATAATCTCCCCTTAATTTCATTTTGGATGTAACTGTAGCACATATGGGCAAATACACTTCTGTTGACCAGGTAGCTCAGTCGGTTAGAGCGAAGAAATTTTTACACTGAGAAAACTGTTTTTAATGTTATCTTGTTTATTTCATCTTGACTCTTACTCTTTACTGTACGGGTATCCACATAGTTACAGGTTTTTGGCAGTGGTACAAGGATCCACACAGTTACAGTTATTTGACAGTGGTACAGGGATCCATATAGTTACAGTTATTTGACAGTGGTATAGGGATCCACATAGTTACAGGTATTTGACAGTGGTACAGGAATCATCATAGTTACAGGTAGTTGACAGTGGTACAGGGATCCATATAGTTACAGGTATTTGGCAGTGGTACAGGGATCCACATAGTTACAGGTATTTGACAGTGGTACAGGAATCATCATAGTTACAGGTTTTTGACAGGGGTACAGGAATCATCATAGTTGCAGGTAGTTGACAGTGGTACAGGGATCCATATCGTTACAGGTATTTGGCAGTGGTACAGGGATCCCCATACTTACAGGTATTTGACAGTCGTACAGGAATCATCATAGTTACAGGTTGGTGACAGTGGTACGGGGATCCATATAGTTACAGTTATTTGACAGTGGGACAGGAATCCACATAGTTACAGGTATTTGACAGTGGTACAGGGATCCACATAGTTACAGGTATTTGACAGAGGTACGGGGAACCATATAGTTACAGTTATTTGACAGTGGGACAGGAATAAACATAGCTACAGGTATTTGACAGTGGTACGGGGATCCACATAGTTACAGGTAGTTGACAGTGGTACAGGAATCCACATAGTTACAGGTAGTTGACAGTGGTACGGGGATCCACATAGTTACAGGTATTTGACAGTGGTACGGGGATCCATATAGTTACAGTTATTTGACCGCGGTACAGGGATCCACATAGTTACAGGTATTTGACAGTGGTACAGGGATCCAAATAGTTACAGGTATTTGGCAGTGATACAGGGATCCACATAGTTACAGGTATTTGACAGTCGTACGGGGATCCATATAGTTACAGGTATTTGACAGTGGTACAGGAATCATCATAGTTACAGGTATTTGACAGTGGTACGGGGATCCACATAATTACAGTTATTTGACAGTGGTACAGGGATCCATATAGTTACAGTTATTTGACAGTGGTATAGGGATCCACATAGTTACAGGTATTTGACAGTGTTACAGGGATCCATATAGTTACAGGTATTTGACAGTGGTACAGGGATCCACATAGTTACAGGTATTTGACAGTGGTACACTCTGGGATCCACATAGTTACAGGTATTTGACAGTGGTACAGGGATCCACATAATTACAGGTAGTTGACAGTGGTACGGGGATCCACATAGTTACAGGCAGTTGACAGTGGTACGGGGATCATCATAGTTACAGGTATTTGACAGTGGTACAGGGATCCACATAGTTACAGGTATTTGGCAGTGGTACGGGGATCCATATAGCTACAGTTATTTGACAGTGGTACAGGGATCCACATAGTTACAGGTAGTTGACAGTGGTATGGGGATCCACATAGTTAAAGGTATTTGACAGTGGTACAGGGATCCACATAGTTACAGGTATTTGGCAGTGATACAGGGATCCACATAGTTACAGGTATTTGACAGTGGTACGGGGATCCACATAGTTACAGGTAGTTGACAGTGGTACATGGGTCCTCATAGTTACAGGTAGTTGACAGTGGTACGGGGATCCATATAGTTACAGGTATTTGACAGTGGTACGGGGGTCCATATAGTTACAGGTAGTTGACAGTGGTACATGGATCCTCATAGTTACAGGTAGTTGACAGCGGTACATGGATCCTCATAGTTACAGGTAGTTGACAGTGGTATGGGGATCCACATAGTTAAAGGTATTTGACAGTGGTACAGGAATCATCATAGTTACAGGTATTTGGCAGTGGTACAGGGATCCACATAGTTACAGGTAGTTGACAGTGGTACATGGATCCTCATAGTTACAGGTAGTTGACAGTGGTATGGGGATCATCATAGTTACAGGTATTTGACAGTGGTACGGGGATCCACATAGTTACAGGTAGTTGACATTGGTATGGGGATCATCATTGTTACAGGTATTTGACCGTGGTACAGGGATCCAGATAGTTACAGGTATTTGACCGTGGTACAGGGATCCAGATAGTTACAGGTATTTGACCGTGGTACAGGGATCCATATAGTTACAGGTATTTGACAGTGGTACGGGGATCCATAAGGTAACTTCAATGACAACAATGTCACTTTGTCAAAGAAGAGTTTTTTTCCATATTCTATATAATGGTGTTCGATGCTCGACACCTGAAGCCTATGTGCCATTATTTAACAACTTCTCACCACTATTCTACCAATTTCTGATATTATTAGTATTTTATAGTAAGATTTGCTAACAAAAAAGTTTGAAATAATATATTTAAGTAAATACCTTAGTGTATGTAGCATATATGTAAATAAAATAAAAAAAAAACCTAGTTATTCTACTGTCACCTCATTTGCGTTTGAACAGAAAATCTTTGACTTTGAATTCATTGAATAGAAAGTATTGCTTCAATGTATATTGTAACCCTTTTTTGGCCCAGACTTGCTCATAATGCTTTATTCATTTAAGGGAGGTAACCCCAGCACAAGTCACAAGTATAAAGTATAAGGTGGCATATTTCCCTAAGTTCCCTAGCAAAGGTAGCCTGTATGACGAAAGTATTACATCAATGGGCTCTGGATCCAGGCAGATTCTGGGGGTAAAAAAACGGTGATGGGACGGCCGGGGGCCAATAGATCATGATACAACACAGATTGGGTGAGAGGACGAGATAGAAACAAATGTTTCCACCAACGAGTGACAGCAGACGTTCACAGGAGCGGGGAATTCATCATTCTTAATTGAATGAAGTATTGTCAAATAGTCCTAAAATAGCCGTACCGTCATTCATCCTACCGTCTCGCTGGAATGGCACATGTAAAGAAGGAAAAAAACACAACCCACATTTTAGTAAGCGATAAAGTCTTCCCTCTTTTGTCAAATTGTGATTGTGTGAAATAAAAATCTGATGCTAAGTTTTCAGATACTTGTTACCCGGAAATAGCAAGTGTTTTGAATGGAGATGCGAACAAGATTTCTAATTTTATTCATTCAGGAGTTTTAAAAAAGTTTCAAGTGATGCTTTTTAGTAAAGGGAATTATATATAAACTTTATTTCTTCATCAGTTTTATGAAAATATTTATTTAGATCATGGAGTTATTATGGAATTTTTGTGACAATAAAATGATCTCATCTGTACCAGGTAATGTGAAAGTTTGATGTAACGGCATTTCTCTGGTGAAAACAATCAGTGTTTATGCTAACATTGAAACACTTATTAGTGTTTTGATAAATAGAAAGTCACGGAATTTGAAGTCTATGAGTGTTAAACCTATTGTATTATTTTCAGAGCAACATCTTCGTTGTGAGAAGCTTAGCGCAGATCTGGATTTGACAAAGAAGAATCTTGCTGATACTGTTGCTGTCAAGGTCAACCTGGACAACAAGTCTAAGGTCAGTACAATATATTCGAATAACTTCATTTTCATCCCAATTGTTGGTCGTAATTGTTGATGGTAGTTGTTGGTCCTAATTGTTGGTGGTAGATGTTTGTCCTAATTGTTGGTGGTAGTTGTTGGTCCTAATTGTTGGTGGTAGTTGATACTGTTGCTATCAAGGTCAACCTGGCCAACAAGTCTAAGGTCAGTACAATATATTCGAATAACTTCATTTTCATCCCAATTGGTGGGGGTAATTGTTGGTGGTAATTGTTGGTGGTAGTTGTTGGTCCTAATTGTTGGTGGTAATTGTTGGTGGTAGATGTTTGTCCTAATTGTTGGTGGTAGTTGTTGGTCCTAATTGTTGGTGGTAGTTGTTGGTCCTAATTGTTGGTGGTAGTTGTTGGTCCTAATTGTTGGTGGTAGTTGTTGGTCCTAATTGTTGGTGGTAGTTGTTGGTCCTAATTGTTGGTGGTAGTTGTTGGTCCTAATTGTTGGTGGTAGTTGTTGGTCCTAATTGTTGGTGGTAGTTGTTGGTCCTAATTGTTGGTGGTAGTTGTTGGTCCTAATTGTTGGTGGTAGTTGTTGGTCCTAATTGTTGGTGGTAGTTGTTGGTCCTAATTGTTGGTGGTAGTTGTTGGTCCTAATTGTTGGTGGTAGTTGTTGGTCCTAATTGTTGGTGGTAGTTGTTGGTCCTAATTGTTGGTGGTAGTTGTTGGTCCTAATTGTTGGTGGTAGTTGTTGGTCCTAATTGTTGGTGGTAGTTGTTGGTCCTAATTGTTGGTGGTAGTTGTTGGTCCTAATTGTTGGTGGTAGTTGTTGGTCCTGTTTGTTGGTGGTAGTTGTTGGTCCTAATTGTTGGTGGTAGTTGTTGGTCCTAATTGTTGGTGGTAGTTGTTGGTCCTGTTTGTTGGTGGTAGTTGTTGGTCCTAGTTGTTGGTGGTAGTTGTTGATCCTAATTGTTGGTGGTAGTTGTTGGTCCTGTTTGTTGGTGGTAGTTGTTGGTCCTGTTTGTTTGTGGTAGATGTTTGTCCTAGTTGTTGGTGGTAGTTGTTGATCTTAATTGTTGGTGGTAGTTGTTGGTCCTGTTTGTTGGTGGTAGTTGTTGGTCCTGTTTGTTTGTGGTAGATGTTTGTCCTAGTTGTTTGTGGTAGTTGTTGGTCCTAATTGTCGGTGGTAGTTGTTGGTCCTAATTGTTGGTGGTAGTTGTTGGTCCTAATTGATGGTGGTGTGTTATGTGACAGATGAAGGTCAGAATTGTTGCTGGTACATATTGTTGCTACTTGTTGGAGCTTAACTTTATTGGGTTATTTAGAAGTACTGTGACCAACAGGTGGCCATTCTTACTACACGATTAACATCTCTAGGAATGTATACATGACAGAACCAGGTCAGGCTACAGGCCACTGTAGTACCTCACAGAACCAGGTCAGGCTACAGGCCACTGTAGTACCTCACAGAACCAGGTCAGGCTACAGGCCACTGTAGTACCTCACAGAACCAGGTCAGGCTACAGGCCACTGTAGTACCTCACAGAACCAGGTCAGGCTACAGGCCACTGTAGTACCTCACAGAACCAGGTCAGGCTACAGGCCACTGTAGTACCTCACAGAACCAGGTCAGGCTACAGGCCACTGTAGTACCTCACAGAACCAGGTCAGGCTACAGGCCACTGTAGTACCTCACAGAACCAGGTCAGGCTACAGGCCACTGTAGTACCTCACAGAACCAGGTCAGGCTACAGGCCACTGTAGTACCTCACAGAACCAGGTCAGGCTACAGGCCACTGTAGTACCTCACAGAACCAGGTCAGGCTACAGGCCACTGTAGTACCTCACAGAACCAGGTCAGGCTACAGGCCACTGTAGTACCTCACAGAACCAGGTCAGGCTACAGGCCACTGTAGTACCTCACAGAACCAGGTCAGGCTACAGGCCACTGTAGTACCTCACAGAACCAGGTCAGGCTACAGGCCACTGTAGTACCTCACAGAACCAGGTCAGGCTACAGGCCACTGTAGTACCTCACAGAACCAGGTCAGGCTACAGGCCACTGTAGTACCTCACAGAACCAGGTCAGGCTACAGGCCACTGTAGTACCTCACAGAACCAGGTCAGGCTACAGGCCACTGTAGTACCTCACAGAACCAGGTCAGGCTACAGGCCACTGTAGTACCTCACAGAACCAGGTCAGGCTACAGGCCACTGTAGTACCTCACAGAACCAGGTCAGGCTACAGGCCACTGTAGTACCTCACAGAACCAGGTCAGGCTACAGGCCACTGTAGTACCTCACAGAACCAGGTCAGGCTACAGGCCACTGTAGTACCTCACAGAACCAGGTCAGGCTACAGGCCACTGTAGTACCTCACAGAACCAGGTCAGGCTACAGGCCACTGTAGTACCTCACAGAACCAGGTCAGGCTACAGGCCACTGTAGTACCTCACAGAACCAGGTCAGGCTACAGGCCACTGTAGTACCTCACAGAACCAGGTCAGGCTACAGGCCACTGTAGTACCTCACAGAACCAGGTCAGGCTACAGGCCACTGTAGTACCTCACAGAACCAGGTCAGGCTACAGGCCACTGTAGTACCTCACAGAACCAGGTCAGGCTACAGTCCACTGTAGTACCTCACAGAACCAGGTCAGGCTACAGTCCACTGTAGTACCTCACAGAACCAGGTCAGGCTACAGGCCACTGTAGTACCTCACAGAACCACATACATATGTTGCTCTGTGGTAGTCGGCAATTCCCATACCTATATGTAAGGCTTGTTATATGTCAAAAAATCATTTGTCATTAGGGTCCCCATAGTGTTTTATATGTGGGAACATTCAATCATCTTGTGAGTATTCCTGATGATGATAAGTCACTGCTGTACTTAAACATCTCTCAGGAACACATCACCATGGGACTCTATCAAACAGATCCTGGCTCTGAGTGACCAAGCCATAAAGTCGGTTATAAAATTCATTAAGATGTTTGATAAAAATTAACTCCTCTGAGAAAAATAATTTGTTGCTGTGGGACCTATCTCCCTCTTCTGAGAGCCTTAGTATTGTATTGGTGATTCCTGGGTTAGTCAAGAACGTTACTAAATTAATCATTAATTAATAACCAATTCAACCAATCCTATGGTGGTAACAGAATAGTTATGTGACCTGCTGTGAAAAATTTATTAATCCATGTTAAATAATTAGTGGTCAGGGACCCAAGTTTTAAGGGAACAGTAAATTTCTTGCTTATTATAAACCGCTAAAATTTCCCTGACTATTTTTTTTTTTTTAATTCTCTGACTACTGATTATAACAGTCTGCCCAGTGCCCGATTCAGGTACAAGAAAACACATGCTAGGAATAGAGTTAAAAGTATCTCCTTTCTGGGGTCGGTGGATTGGAATATTCTACAGGGACAGCAACTTAAGGATTCCAATACTATTGCTAAACAAATGAAACTACACATTGGACAATTTTCTGGCTTGAATATAGCTTTACAAATTCATTTCTGAAAAGAAAACTACACCTTGCAGAATTTTAATGAAATGACAATAAAGATTAGAAAATGAAATCAGGCACAGTATGAAGAAAATGAAGTGTGCACAAATCAGGATTTGAACCCAAGATCCACAATCATTATACTGTTTCTCTGAGCTTCCTGGTCAGTGGTACAATGTAGTAACTCTAGCCCAATCATTATATCGTCTCTCTGAGCTTCCTGGTCAGTGGTAGTAACTCTAGCCCTATCATTATACTGTCTCTCTGAGCTTCCTGGTCAGTGGTATAACTCTAACCCAATCATTATACGTTCTCACTAACCACCGAGCTTCCTTGTCAGTGGTAGTAACTCTATCCCAATCATTAGACTGTCTCTGTGAGCTTCCTGGTCAGTGGTACAATGTAGTAACTCTATCCCAATCATTATACTGTCTCTCTGAGCTTCCTGGTCAGTGGTAGTAACTCTAACTCAATCATTATAATGTCTCTGTGAGCTTCCTGGTCAGTGGTATAACTCTAGCCCAATCATTATAATGTCTCTCTAACCACAGAGCTTCCTGGTCAGTGGTATAACTCTAGCTCAATCATTATACTGTCTCTGTGAGCTTCCTGGTCAGTGGTAGTAACTCTAGCCCAATCATTATACTGTCTCTGTGAGCTTCCTGGTCAGTGGTATAACTCTAGCTCAATCATTATCCTGTCTCTGTGAGCTTCCTGGTCAGTGGTAGTAATTCTAGCCCAATCATTATACTGTCTCTGTGAGCTTCCTGGTCAGTGATAGTAACTATAGCCCAATCATTATACTGTCTCTCTGAGCTTCCTGGTCAGTGGTAGTAACTCTAGCCCAATCATTATACTGTCTCCGTGAGCTTCCTGGTCAGTGGTAGTATCTCTAGCCCAATCATTATACTGTCTCTCTGAGCTTACTGGTCAGTGGTAGTAACTCTAGCCCAATCATTATACTGTCTCTCTAACCACCGAGCTTCCTGGTCAGTGGCAGTTACTCTAGCCCAATCAGTATACTGTCTCTGTGAGCTTCCTGGTCAGTGGTAGTAACTCTAGCCCAATCATTATAATGTCTCTCTAACCACCAAGCTTCCTGGTCAGTGGTAGTAACTCTGGCCCAATTGTGCTTCGAGGTTTCTGAGTGTATGAAAAACTACATTGTAATTCTGTAGAGTTTTGAGTGAAGGGGGACAGATATCCTTAAGGAACAATAGTTCTACTCAAAAAACATGGTAAATAACTTCTGCAACCCGACTAATGGATCGATTTTTCAAATCAATGATATTTTTTTGAGAACTTCCAGTTAATACTAAAGGTTAGGTAATTAAAATCGAAATAGTTTGTAAGGGACATAATACCAACACCAATCACAGTTATAATTTCTAAGGTAACATAGTACCTTTTTGATATGCTGTCTGTAGTTAATTGTACTCTTTCCATTTAGATTTTTGTTTGGTTTCAAATGATTGATCAGTATTATAGATCTATGGAAAAAGCGTTTCTGTAAACACATTAACCCTCTTAGATTACGTCAGATCAGATTATAGTACAGCCATACACTAACACACTGGCTCCCTCCTAGTACAAATATACCTTAGATAGTGTGACCTTCTGTAGGTCAGATCGTAATATAAAACAGCCATACACTAACACACTGGCTCCCTCCTAGTACAAATTATACCTTAGATAGTGTGACCTTCTGTAGATCAGATCAGATTATAGTACAGCCATACACTAACACACTGGCTCCCTCCTAGTACAAATTATACCTTAGAGAGTGTGACCTTCTGTAGATCAGATCAGATTATAGTACAGCCATACACTAACGCACTGGCTCCCTCCTAGTACAAATATACCTTAGATAGTGTGACCTTCTGTAGGTCAGCTCGTAATATAAAACAGCCATACACTAACACACTGGCTCCCTCCTAAAACAAATATACCTAAGATAGTATGACCTTCTGTAGGTCAGATCAGATTATAGTACAGCCATACACTAACACACTGGCTCTCTCCTAAAACAAATATACCTTAGATAGTGTGACCTTCTGTAGGTCAGATCAGATTATAGTACAGCCATATACACTAACACACTGGCTCCCGCCTAGAAAAAATATACCTTAGATAGTGTGTCCTTCTGTAGGTCAGATCAGATTATAGAACAGCAATACACTAACACACTGCTTCCCTCCTAGTACAAATATACCTTAGATAGTGTGACCTTCTGTAGGTCAGATCAGATTATAGTACAGCCATACACTAACACACTGCCTCCCTCCTAGAACAAATATACCTTGGATAGTGTGACCTTCTGTAGGGCAGATCAGATCATAGTACAGCCATACACTAACACACTGGCTCCCTCCTAGAACAAACATACCTAAGATAGTGTGACCTTCTGTAGGTCAGATTAGATTATAGTACAGCCATACACTAACACACTGCCTCCCTCCTAGAACAAATATACCTAAGATAGTGTGACCTTCTGTAGGTCAGATTAGATTATAGTACAGCCATACACTAACACACTGCCTCCCTCCTAGAACAAATATACCTTGGATAGTGTGACCTTCTGTAGGTCAGATCAGATTATAGTACAGCCATACACTAACACACTGGCTCCCTCCTAGTGCAAATATACCTTAGATAGTGTGACCTTCTGTTGTCAGCACTGTACATAAACTACCTTAGATAGTGTGACCTTCTGTAGATCAGATCAGATTATAGTACAGTCATACGCTAACACACTGGCTCCCTCCTAGTACAAATATACCTTAGATAGTGTGACCTTCTGTTGTCAGCACTGTACATAAACTAACATAATAGAGATGGTACAAAATAAATGAAAATAAGGACACCACTAAAACAAGTACATTGACAGTATGTTTTTATGTATTTCCACATATATTCTTAAATTATTTATTTTAGCTTTCCTTTACTTATTTTGTTACAATTTTGTTTCAAAACTTAAATATATTTGCTATTTATTGGTAAGGGTTTTTCTGCCTGATGAATCACTAACGTCGGACAGTATCTCCTCGTACTACTCGCCACACATATTCATGTCATCAGTATTAAAATAGTGGCCCCTGTGCATGCATGTTGTTGTCCTTTTCGTGTGTGGATGAGCATTCCCGCATGATCAACCTTCCAGTATAGACAGTCCTCCAGGCCATCATAAAACAGATATTTCTAGTACGGACATGAAGTGTCGTACTGTAGTATTTATACAATGATCTATACAGCTTCTTCCTAGATTATATTATATGTCTATACAATTTTTACTTTTCTGTGAACTCATTTTGGCAGAGGTTGTTGTATATTTGACTTATTTTTGAGGATTTATACATTTTGAAGTGTAATTTACTTTCTTTGTGTCGTTTCAACTGAATGAACTCTTTATCTTAATTACTTGTTTTATATTACTATGTATAGTAATATGTCTTGACCTAACTTTATAGTACCGTTGACAAACTTGACCTTATAACTCAGATAACAACCTTAACTTTACATTATAACTCGGGTAACGACCTTAACTTTACCTTATAACTCAGGTAACACCCTTAACTTTACCTTATAACTCAGGTAACAACCTTAACTTTACCTTATAATTCAGGTAACAACCTTGACCTTGCCTAACAGTACAGGTGATGACCTTGACCTTTCTTTATAGTGCCGGTGACAAACTTGACCTTGTCTAACAGTACAGGTGATAACCTTGGCCTTGCCTAACAGTACAGGCGATAACCTTAACCTTACCTTATAGTACAGGTGATAACCTTGACCTTACTTCATAGTACAGGTGACAACCTTGACCTTACTTCATAGTACAAGTGACAACCCTAACCTTACTTCATAGTACAGGTGACACCCCTAACCTTACTTCATAGTACATGTGACAACCTTGACCTTACTTCATAGTACAGGGGACAACCTTGACCTTACCTTATAGTACAGGTGAAAACCTTGACCTTATTTCATAGTAAAGGTGACAACCTTGACCTTACTTCATAGTACAAGTGACAACCCTAACCTTACTTCATAGTACAGGTGACAACCTTGACCTTACTTCATAGTACAGCTGACAACCTAGATCTTGCTTTATAATTCTTGTGACAACTTTGATTCTTACCTTATAATTCAGATGACAACCTGGACCTTACCTTACAATACAAGAGACTATCTAGACTTTAAGTTTTATACAAGTATGCTATTCATCTAAAAACATTGATTTATGTAACAACTTTGATGTAAGTTTATGATGCCGACTTTGACCTTAATGTATCCTACAGGTTACAACATTGACTTGGGCCTGCATCAAGTTTTCATTGTTGGTACAACTTAAACTTTTTGTTTGAAAGAGTATCTTTTACTTATGTGATGTTTAAGAAAAATAAAGCAGATTTCACAAGTATTTCTATTTTTACAACAGATGATAGAAGCAGAACTACATGAGAAGGTGGCTAGATTTGAAGGCATTATTGAAGAGGTATGTATAAAGAACTGTGTAATATATGATTCAAGTATTTGATGTTTTTCTCTCATCAGATTCTACCGCTTTTGACATTTGATGTGTAAATGGCCAGCTATATTACAGGGAACTTCCTACCAAAACCAGCCTTGTCTCATAAGGCTATAACTGAAGTGGCTTTTTGGTGGGCATATAAATAAATCTCTCGGCAATTACACAACATTAATAACTATTGAACATTTTGAAATACATTTTCAGGAATTAATGCAAATTAATGTTATGTTGGTAATAAATGTCTCGTTTGTTTGAACAGCTTGAGGATTCTAAAAAGCTACTGAGACGATATGACACTCAGCTTAAACAAAGTCACAAGGAGACAGAGTTCAAAAACCAGGAGCTAGAAAATATCAGGTAATACATGTTCAAAAACCAGGAGCTAGAAAAAATCAGGTAATACAAGCTCAGACACCAGGAGTTAGAAAATATCAGGTAAGACAAGCTCAGACACCAGGAGTTAAAAATATCAGGGAATACAAGCTCAGAAACCAGGAGTTAAAAATATCAGGTAATACAAGCTCAGCCACCAGGAGTTAAAAATATCAGGTAATACAAGTTCAGACACCAGGAGTTAAAAATATCAGGTAATACAAGCTCAGAAACTTGGAGTTAAAAGTATCAGGAAATACAAGCTCAGAAACTTGGAGTTAGAAAATATCAGGTAATACAAGCTCAGACACCAGGAGTTAAAATATCAGGTAATACAAGCTCAGAAACTTGGAGTTAAAAGTATCAGGTAATACAAGCTCAGAAACTTGGAGTTAGAAAATATCAGGTAATACAAGCTCAGACACCAGGAGTTAGAAAATATCAGGTAATACAAGCTCAGACACCAGGAGTTAAAAATATCAGGTAATACAAGCTCAGACACCAGGAGTTAGAAAATATCAGGTAATACAAGCTCAGACACCAGGAGTTAAAAATATCAGGTAATACAAGTTCAGAAACCAGGAGTTAAAAATATCAGGTAATACAAGTTCATTAACAGCTTAATGACACAGCAAGGTCCTATCAGGATACGATAGAGACTGAGTAAGCAGTAGATGTTTCAGGGCAGAAAGATAGCAAATAAAAAGGTTCTAAGGAATGACAGAAATCAGGGTAGCATTGAATTTGTCACCAGAGACAATGCAAGTAAAAATGTTCTAGGAAAAGAAAGGAAAGAAGGGTGAAATTAGTTTACTGTTAATTGTAAGCTTTATAGATTTGTTTGATAGTCCTTGAATGGTTGTGTAGAATCTGTCTGTCCATATAGGAAGGAACTGTCTGAGCTATGGGGAAACCACAACCAACTGACCGAACATTCCAGTCAACAAGCGGACCTCATCAGACAGCTCCAGTCTCTACAGCAAGACACTCAGAAAAGTAAGCAAGCCAGTTATTTATATCTTTTAGGAACTGATACTTTTACAATGAACATGAAAATGGATGCGTGCTGACTATATATACTTATATATTTGTTTTTGACTCAAACAATACCATTCATAGTAGTGAAATAAGCAAACCTATATTTTGTTATGTACTAAAACTACACCAATCTACACTGGATAATTATCAGAGAGAGAAAATCAATAAAAAGCACAAGTTAAAGGTGAAAAATGATGCACAATTTAAAACGGGGTGTAGAATCAAGATGTGCAAATGAGAATTTAAATAAAGGAACCAGATTGTTTGGTATCAAATACCCTGTAAGTAAGAAAGTGCTGTGTCTAGGATGAGAAATGTGGGTGTACTTTGACTCGGTAACCGATCTTGTTTACAGTGATGAAGAATGCAGAAGATGCCTATTGTATGGAGGCTACATCTGTCCAGGATGTGAGTAATATATCATCTACAAAATGTCCTTCCTCTATACTACACTTCCTGTCTGTCCTTTGTGTTTACTATACTTCCTGTCTGTCCTTTGTGTTTACTACACTTCCTGTCTGTCCTTTATATATACTACACTTCCTGTCTGTCCTTTGTATATGCTACACTTCCTGTCTGTCCTTTGTGTTTACTACACTTCCTGTCTGGCCTTTGAATATATTACACATCACTTCTGTCTTTGTGTCTGTCCTTTGTATATATTATACTTCCTGCCTGTCCTTTGTGTTTACTACACTTCCTGTCTGGCCTTTGAATATATTACACATCACTTCTGTCTTTGTGTCTGTCCTTTGTATATATTATACTTCCTGCCTGTCCTTTGTGTTTACTACACTTCCTGTCTGCCCTTTATATATACTACCCTTCCTGTCTGTCCTTTGTATATGCTACATTTCCTGTCTGTCCTTTGTGTTTACTACCCTTCCTGTCTGTCCTTTGTGTTTACTACACTTCCTGTCTGTCCTTTGAATATATTACACATCCTTTCTGTCTTTGTGTCTGTCCTTTGTATATTTTACACATCCTGTCTGTCTTTCTGTCTGGCCTTTGTATATACTACACTTCCTGTCTGTCTGTGTGTCTTGTGTGATTTATATCTAATGGTCATTCTGATTATCCAATAAAATTGATTTGGTTTTACATAAAAAAAAAAAATTACCACTAAATATAAAGCAGCCCCTGTTATTTGACATTGTTTCAAAATTGTTTCAATTTATGCAGTCTGAGAGTAAATCGTAAGATGCTGAAATTATGGAAAATTATTAGCCAAAATAAAATTAGGCTAATTAGAACCATTTTCCCCCCTTTTTCAGCCAGATGTTGGCTTTTCTGTGTTATGAATGGAATCTTTCATAGATTTTATAGTGGTGAATTAGTGTCAATTTATGTTCTGTCATTAAGAGACAGACTACTTTACGGGCTTTGGTAATGTCTTCAAGAAATCGTCTTTGTTTTTTTTTTATTGGATATATTTTGAAGTACCACAAATTTTCTACATTTCAAAGAGTAAATTTTTGTGCCTCACTTTTGGCTAAGATGAGACATATGTGATCACCGTTTGTCAAGTATGTGTTGTATAAGTCTGTGTATGTAAAAACTAAGTGTATCAATATGCTAGATTGAGATAGGAAACTTTGCCTGGGGAGAAATTTTAATGCTGATCTTGTCTGCGATACTTGAGCTCTGTTATCATTGTGTTGTGTAATCTCTCTGAGTAAAAGAGTTCTATCTCAAGTGACAGCGTCGTAGCGCGTGGCACGGCCGCGTGTGGGTGAAGACGGCCCACCTGGTAACGCTGTGATATACACGAAACCAAGTCTTGATGCACGCTTTATTTTAAAGATTTATTATTTTATCACTTGTTTCAAGGGATTGTCGCTGAGCTATAAGCTCTAACTTTAATTGAAGTGTGATGACTGTTTCTGTATTACCGACTTCCTCTGTAGTTTTTGTCAGTCGTATATAAGGTCATGCGCTTGCCTTTAATTACTATCTAGTCACAAAGATTCACTTGGTAGTAACCTAATCAGATTCACGTGTTTATACATGTTGTATAATGATCAGTGTTCACAGAGGCGGGAGGATGGCAGTGTTAACACCTCCTCTATTATATCCCGCTCTGATTGGTTAAAATAGGAAAATCACTCCTGAAATACAGCATTTGTTCTTTTGTCCAACTACCACTTATATATATATATGTTGTACTGTCCAACTATGTATTATATATCGTATTGTATATACTACTGTCCAAATACCTATTATATATACTACTGTCCAAATACCTATTATACATACTACTGTCCAAATACTTATTATATATCATACTGTCCAAATACCTATTATATATACTACTGTCCAAATACCTATTATATATTCTACTGTCCAAATACCTTTTATATATTCTACTGTCCAAATACCTATTATACATACTACTGTCCAAATACTTATTATATATCCTACTGTCCAAATACCTATTATATATACTACTGTCCAAATACCCATTATATATTCTACTGTCCAACAACCTTTTATTTATTCTACTGACCAACTACCTATTATATATTCTACTGTCCAACTACCTATTATTCTCCGTATTATATATTTTACTGTCCAAATACCTATTATATATTCTACTGTCCAAATACCTATTATATATTCTACTGACCAACTACCTATTATATATTTTACTGTCCAAATACCTATTATATATTCTACTGTCCAAATACCTATTATTCTACGTATAATATATTCTACTGTCCAAATACCTATTATATATACTACTGTCCAACTACCTATTATATATTCTACTGTCCAAATACCTTTTATATATTCTACTGTCCAACTACCTATAATATATTTTACTGTCCAACTACTTATTATATATTCTACTGTCCAACTACCTGTTATATATTCTACTGTCCAACTACCTATTATATATTCTACTGTCCAACTACCAATTATTCTATGTATTATATATTCTACTGTCCAAATACCTATTATATATTCTACTGTCCAAATACCTATTATGCTATGTATTATATATTATACTGTCCAACTACCTATTATTTATTCAACTGTCCAACTACCTATTATTCTACGTATTATATATACTACTTACTATTATTCTACATATTATATATACTATTGTCCAGCTACCTATTTTATATTCTACTGTTAATCTACCTACATGTACTATATATTCCAATGTCCGTTTAGCTATTATATATTCTACTGTCTAAATACCTAATATATATTCTCTGTCCAACTGCATTTTTCATATTCTACTGTCCAACTACATATTATATCTTCTACTGTCAATCTTCATATTATATATTCTACTGTCCAACTACATATTATATATTCTACTGTCCAACTACATATTATATATTCTACTGTCCAACTACATATTATATATTCTACTGTCCAACTACATATTATATATTCTACTGTCCAACTACATATTATATATTCTACTGTCCAACTACATATTATATATTCTACTGTCCAACTACATATTATATATTCTACTGTCCAACTACATATTATATATTCTACTGTCCAACTACATATTATATATTCTACTGTCCAACTACATATTATATATTCTACTGTCCAACTACATATTATATATTCTACTGTCCAACTACATATTATATATTCTACTGTCCAACTACATATTATATATTCTACTGTCCAACTACATATTATATATTCTACTGTCCAACTACATATTATATATTCTACTGTCCAACTACATATTATATATTCTACTGTCCAACTACATATTATATATTCTACTGTCCAACTACATATTATATATTCTACTGTCCAACTACATATTATATATTCTACTGTCCAACTACATATTATATATTCTACTGTCCAACTACATATTATATATTCTACTGTCCAACTACATATTATATATTCTACTGTCCAACTACATTTTATATTTTTTACTGTCCACTTATACAAAATATATTCTACTATCCAACTATGCATAATGTATTCTACTCTCTAACTTTACATAAAATATTCTACATTTTAACTGGACAAAATATATTCTACTGTTCAAAAAGACATGAAAATTATATTCTTCTGTCCCACTATACACAATATATTCTTCTATCCAAAAATAAATACTGATTTTATTCTCCTGTCCAACTGTCAGGTGGGGGTTGGATTTTATATGTTGATCCAGAATATAAATAGTTCATCATGGTTCCATAACTCGATCAAAAATTAAATCTGTTGTATTTTCAAATTAGATGGTGCCAACAATGCCATTAGTACTTACTTCATATCATTATTAAACGTCAGTGTTGACTGTTAAAGTATATATGTATACATTTAACGTACATATGTATACATTTAAAGTACATATGTATACATTTAACGTACATATGTATACATTTAACGTACATATGTATACATTTAAAGTACATATGTATACATTTAACGTACATATGTATACATTTAACGTACATATGTATACATTTAACGTACATATGTATACATTTAACGTACATATGTATACATTTAACGTACATATGTATACATTTAACGTACATATGTATACATTTAAAGTACATATGTATACATTTAACGTACATATGTATACATTTAACGTACATATGTATACATTTAAAGTACATATGTATACATTTAAAGTACATATGTATACATTTAAAGTACATATGTATACATTTAAAGTACATATGTATACATTTAAAGTACATATGTATACATTTAAAGTACATATGTATACATTTAAAGTACATATGTATACATTTAAAGTACATATGTATACATTTAAAGTACATATGTATACATTTAAAGTACATATGTATACATTTAAAGTACATATGTATACATTTAAAGTACATATGTATACATTTAAAGTACATATGTATACATTTAAAGTACATATGTATACATTTAAAGTACATATGTATACATTTAAAGTACATATGTATACATTTAAAGTACATATGTATACATTTAAAGTACATATGTATACATTTAAAGTACATATGTATACATTTAAAGTACATATGTATACATTTAAAGTTATGTATAAACACTGCTGTAGTAAAGAAATAGTAGGGAGCTGACAACACAGAATGGACCTTGATTGTTACTTTTATTTCTGAACTTGAATTTCGTAAAAAACCTACACCATGTCTAGAACAACAAATCAAAATTAGATCAGACATTTTTGTGACAGATAAAAGAAAAGTTAAGGTCAGCTTTCAATTGAAAGCCATTGTCGGTTTGCTGTAGCTACTAGTGCCAAGAGCTTATGACTTTATAACGTGTAGGTAATGGGACAATAATAGATAAAACAAAGAAATTCCTTAGTGTAAATCAGCTGTTATGTTAACGAGCTGACATGATTGTCCCACAAGTTTACCCCATTGATGACATGTGGTAATTGTATTGTTATTGGACCACTGTTATATGCTGCAACAGTTGTCAGACAACTTAACATGTGTCGGCAAAGACACCAAACATGTTGTTCTCTCCGGGGTTATAAATGATTCCTTTGTTTCCAAGCTGGCTTCACTTTCTTTTTCACCAGCTAAATCATGGATCTTTTGTTTTGTATTTTACTGGACGTTTTATTACTTTCAATATTTTAATTTATTTTGGAGGTTTTTTTATGATTTAAAAAAAAAAACCATATCAAAAGTGGTTAATAGTCTAAAAAGGCTTACAAATTATTTTCCTTAGCACACCACTTAAAATTTCCACAAAAAACACACTTTATATACTTGTACATTAGAAAACTCGGATAAACTAACTATCTATTTAACAAAGCAGATGAACTCAATATACATAAAGTAACACATTAAATTGTCCTCTGTTTATTTTACTCAGCATAACTAACCATGTAGGTAATTAATTAAAATCAACTCATCATAGATTAGAATTTAACTGGGGAACACATATAACTATCTCATATTAACTAACTATACCTAACTTTACCACACAATATTTCACGACTCATACTACTTCACACAAATTGACTCACCATACATAAATTGACTTATCATACATAAAATTAAGACATATTGATAAACTATATTTTCCTGTACATAGAATTGACTCAGATTAACTCACAAGCCATAGAACTTGCTCACCATGTGGAGAACCAACAGATTCAACAAACAGAGAAATAATACACATTAACCTACCATGCATAGTATTGATATCTTCATTATGCTAATTGATTGAAGTTAAAACTCACCAAATTTAAAAACAAAATTTAAACTATTTTTAAAATTTTCTTGATTTATTTTCAAAGATGTACACGGAGCTGACTCATCGGTATGACAAGTCAAAAAAGACTGAATCTGATCTTCGACATCAAGTCCACTCACTCCGAAAGGTAAGGTACTGAAGTCAGCTGACCAAGGGTCAAATTATGACCCTTTTAAAATTGATCTTTTTTTGTTACTTATATGATGGGGAGGGGGGGGGGGGATTGTGTAATGGGAACCCATTTACTATTATAATGATCTAGTATGTACTCACTGGACTTTATGGAGAAGAAGGAAGGTATCATTGACAAACTACTTATCTTTTACATGGTTCCTACATCTTAACCATTCCAACAAAGCATGCTCGGGCCATAATCTCTCTGTGACTACAGTCCCTCTGTACATTGTACTAAATTGGGAAGACGTGACATTTTACAATAGAGTCTCATGCTCCACGAAGAGTTCCATGTTTCTCCGTACACATGCAGCATGGCTCTGGTCCCGTGAGGGGTCGCCCATATTTGGGGAGGGTGTCTACTACTGATAATGTGAGAGACGTGTCAATCAGAACTGCGGTGATACATGGCCCACGATCCCTGTTCCCGCAGCCGACCCGTCGTTTGGCATGTACAAGACACTCTTTCTGTCCCGAAATACCGGACTCTCCAGAGAGATGGGAGAATGAGATCAGGCCCGAACACACCACATCAACTCTATTTTCCGCCTATTGACTACTTGTACAGATGTCTTTAAAATAGTCCCTTTACTGTCCTACAACATGCATGGATCTTGGTCTTCATCAATTTCCTCCAATTGTGAGTATTGGTATTGGGCTGTTACTCCCACAGTCACATGTATACAGATCGGAGACATCATTAGATACCACAGGACAATACAGGACTGCTGTGTTTTATTGCGTCACGGTAACCATGGAAACTGCTGTATTATGTAAATGTTATCAATTTCTTGGATTTACTCTAAGTTTTGACTGATACATGTACAATTTGTTGATTTGATACACTTTTCAAATCTATGTACTGATTGATGAAAAAATTAGTAGATTTTGTTTTCATAGTAGATTTCTGTTATGAGTAATAAAAATAGAATTTGATCTCTGTAGACATTTTCTTTGAAAATGTAGTCTCTTTTGCTAGACTGTTTTTCAATTAAAGGGTGGTTACTATTCTATAAAGGATAACCATGACAATTTATTAATAGAAGGATGGTTTCTCATGACAGATTTGAATTACAACGGTTGTTTGTCAAGATACGCTTTAAGGTCATAGGAGTGTATTGATAAACGGAAGTAGGAAGTACATCCCTAGTTGAAAATCCAATGTTGAGAGACAGTATCACAATTTCCGCATATTCTAATGTTTGATATTAAATTGATGAATATTGTATGTTTATTATTGACAGAACAGTGTTTTCTCTCAATATTGAAGTATTACAAAGCAATGCAGGCATTAATACAGGTGGGTTTTTTTTTCAATGAGTCACATGTATCCATTTTTCTTTACTTCAGGAAACCGGCTACCTATTTCACTACTGTGATTTTTTTCAAGAAAGATAACTCTTACCTGCAATTGCTATGTGCATATGGTTTTACTATAAAGCGTCAATTTTTAATCGTTTATAGATAATTTATTTGACATAATTTCAGCATTTATTCAATTGATATACATTAATGCAATACTAATCTATGGCAGTATCATTTTTATTGACATTATTTTGTAAAATATTTTGTCTTTCATTTTTTTTCAAAAGTCCCTCCTTTTTACATAAATTTCCATTTAAAATCCTTAAAATTATGGCAACCTATATTTTTTTTTTGTGGCAGAAAATGTTCTTTACTTCAAAGCGATATAACTACAAAATTTGAAGAAATTCTACTGAGAAATGGCGACAATCCTAATTACCTTAATTGAAACAGCGATATATCTTACACATAAATTTTCACATATATAAATTAAAGGTGGTCACCCAAAGTATATTGTTTTGATGAAAAGGATGATACTTCATGACAAGTTGCATTTTACAGGCTAAGTCTCTCAAGATTGTCATTAAAGTGTTATATATCAGACAAATATTGATTTTAAAAATAGTCTGTTTTTCTATGGATCTACTTTAAAACTGATTCATCAGAATCTACTGAAAGTAAGATTTCTTATACTATGTAGTAATATTGACAATGGACCTAACTTCAAGTGTGGACTCTCATGTAAGGTTCTACTTTTAAATTTCCAAGGACAATTGTTGTCACACAGGACAGGCTTTACTTTCAGTGGTGGTATCGCAAGACAGGCTCTACTTTCAGTGGTGGTATCACAAGACAGGCTCTACTTTCAGTGGTGGTCTCACAAGACAGGCTCTATTTGCAGTGGTGGTCTCACAAGACAGGCTCTATTTTCAGTGGTGGTCTCACAAGACAGTCTCTACTCTCAGTGGTGGTCTCACAAGACAGGCTCTATTTGCAGTGGTGGTCTCACAAGACAGGCTCTATTTGCAGTGGTGGTCTCACAAGACAGGCTCTACATACAGTGGTGGTCTCACAAGACAGCCTCTACTTTCAGTGGTGGTCTCACAAGACTGGCTCTACTTTCAGTGGTGGTCTCACAAGACAGGCTCTATTTTCAGTGGTGGTCTCACAAGACAGGCTCTACTTTCAGTGGTGGTCTCACAAGACAGACTCTATTTTCAGTGGTGGTCTCACAAGACAGTCTCTACTCTCAGTGGTGGTCTCACAAGACAGGCTCTACTTTCAGTGGTGGTCTCACAAGACAGGCTCTACTCTCAGTGGTGGTCTTTCACAACAGGTTCTGCTTCCTTTGTTGGTCTCAGAAGACAGTTAATCCTTTGAGTGTTGGTTTTAAAAGACAGGTTCTGCTTCCTTTGTTGGTCTCAGAAGACAGTTAATCCTTTGAATGTTTGGTCATACAAGACAGGTTCTGCTTCCTTTGTTGATCTCATAAGNTCTCACAAGACAGGCTCTACTTTCAGTGGTGGTCTCACAAGACAGGTTCTACTTTCAGTGGAGGTCTCACAAGACAGGCCCTACTCTCAGTGGTGGTATCACAAGACAGGCTCTACTCTCAGTGGTGGTCTTTCACAACAGGCTCTACTTTCAATCTTGGTCTCACAATACAGTCCGGTATTTAATAGCAGTTTTATATGACATGTTTTAATTTCAATGTTGATCTCAGAAGACAGGTTCTGCTTCCTTTGTTTGTCTCAGAAGACAGTTAATCCTTTGAGTGTAAGTCTTACAAGACAAGTTATGTTTCCTTTGTTGGTCTCAGAAGACAGTTAATCCTTTGAGTGTAAGTCTTACAAGACAAGTTCTGCTTCCTTTGTTTGTCTCAGAAGACAGTTAATCCTTTGAATGTTTGGTCTTACAAGACAGGTTCTGCTTCCTTAAGTGGTCTCAGAAGACAGTTAATCATTTGAGTGTTGGTCTTACAAGACAGGTTCTGCTACCTTTGTTTGTCTCAGAAGACAGTTAATCCTTTGAATGTTTGGTCTTACAAGACAGGTTCTGCTTCCTTTGTTGGTCTCAGAAGACAGTTAATTCTTTGAATGTTTGGTCTTACAAGACAGGTTCTGCTTCCTTTGTTGGTCTCAGAAGACAGTTAATTCTTTGAGTGTTGGTCTTACAAGACAGGTTATGTTTCCTTTAGTGGTCTCAGAAGCCAGTTAATCCTTTGAGTATTGGTCTTAGAAGACAGGTTCTGCTACCTTTGTTGGTCTCAGAAGACAGTTAATCCTTTGAGTATTAGTCTTAGAAGACAGGTTCTGCTACCTTTGTTGGTCTCAGAAGACAGTTAATCCTTTTGAGTGTTTGGTCTTAGAAGACAGGTTCTGCTTCCTTTGTTGGTCTCAGAAGACAGTTAATTCTTTGAGTGTTGGTCTTACAAGACAGGTTATGTTTCCTTTAGTGGTCTCAGAAGACAGTTAATCCTTTGAGTATTGGTCTTAGAAGACAGGTTATGTTTCCTTTGTTGGTCTCAGAAGACAGTTAATCCTTTGAATGTTTAGTCTTACAAGACAGGTTCTGCTTCCTTTATTGGTCTCAGGAGACAGTTAATCCTTTAAGTGTTGGTCTCAGAAGACGGAATGTACCTTTTAGTGTTAGGTTAATAAGACAGGTTCTTCTTAAATGGTTTCACCAGACAGTATCTCCTTTAATCAGTGACCTTAAAAGACAGGTTCTGCATTAAATAGTGATGTGTCGGAAATTGCTTTACTGTAGAGAACTTTGTGACAAATGACTGGGGGCTACATATACTTGTGTCAGCATCGTGACAACCCCTAAGTTTGTGCCTAACCTTGTACAGATCACAACTGCACCGTGGATCAATGCACCACTCTGTACACAAATAAAATTCCAAAGATTGTCCCCGTATTGAAATTTAATAAAAACTGTCTGTTTGATATGGTTGTTGAGTTTATATCTCATACAGAATTCACGCATTATTGTCAGGAGGCACAGTCACAGAAGCCAAGTCTCTAACAGGGTTAGTTGGCTTATTTTTACTAGCCTGACAGAACTCTCCAGGGGATCTACAAAGGGGGATGTAACAGATCAAGACAATTAGCCGTCTCTTATCCTAGCTCTAGTCACTTGTCTGATTCCCCGCTAGGCCCCGACTTTACAGGGGTTCTGCCTTCCTTTTTTACTGTCCTACACACCAGTAAAAACATGGGCAATTTTTGTCAAAGGCTAGATAGTTAATGGTTTCCCCTGGAAACAGACAGATCTATCAAAGAAGAAAAGTTGTCAGAATGTCATATTTGTTTACGTAAACTTAATGATTGCATGACAAATAACATCTTTTATTACAAGGAGGCTGATATTGGCTTTGGTGTGGATGTCCCGGGAGTAATGTCAAGCCAAATGTCCTCACAGCTAGAGCTGTCCGCAGCATACTCCTCTACCATATGGCCGAGCCAAGGTCCCCAGAGATGTAACAAGTTAATAAAATAGTCACTTCAATAGCAGTCTACCAAATTAGACCTGAAATGTTTCCCCTCCACCAAAATGACATTAGCTTATTGTCGTCAAGTGGCAAGCATTGTTGATCACTGCAGACAAAAAGCTACCAATTTTCATTTGTATGTAAGACAGCAA